GCATAACAATACCGTGTCACAACTTTCTTGTAAACGGAACACGATCTGAATTCGGGTTGGATTAGTCACTGTTCTACGCCAAGTGTTCCGATGTGCCGATTTGCATAAGAGGCTTACCTACAAAACAATACATTATCTGTATTACTACAAATGTGTCAATATTTCCTCCACATCGAACACAAATAAAAGTGAAAGTTTGTTTTTATTCTGTAAATACCATTTGTGTTTTTGCGAAAATATAATGAAGAAATGTTTTAAGCAGACTTTATAGGCGCGCTTTCAAAAGATATGTCGTAGAATTTGCTTGCATACGAAAGAATTTTAATGTTCAAGTCATACCGAATAATGTTTGAACGAGCAAACATTTTAGAAAGTTATGTAAGATTTTTTCTTATTTTGATAGTAAAAAAGTTTCTAATTAATACTCACGGAAATATACTCGTACACAATGAAACGAAAGCATCGACGCGGAAAATGGAAAAACATACATATACATAATATATAATCTATATAATAAAATTTAAGAACCAACTACAACATATATCTACCTATAATTATGTATCGTGCACACATATAAATTAAATCAAAGAAATCGGGCAATCAGTAGAATTTTGTGACAAAATTACACACATTACCAACCCCACCTACGAAGGTAAAATTAAAAGAAATTAATTTCTTCTTATTGCCTTTCAGCTACCACATAAAAACTCCTCAGGACCACAATTATAAAAGATCTCCTCCGACTGTAAACTGGTTTTACACCGAAATACGTAATGTAACATAATTAACGTCTTATTATCGCCAAACCGAGTTTCATTCACAAAAGGAAAGTAGACAGAAATGCTTTGAATGTCATTTGTAGTACACACAAAAACACTATAAATCAAATATTAAATTCTAGACAGACCATTACTTAGCGTCGTAACGTAACATTATACGCCATTGACCTTTGTTTAAAAATATTGAAGTTGTGTAACTCGTGCGTCAAGCGTTCATTAGAATGGGGCATGCGCAGGCGCGGGCAGTTCCGATTGTTCAATGGCCGGTGATGCGGACGCGCGTGGAATGAGGGCGGGCTTACACTATTTCATAACATAAAACGGCAGTAGGACTTTAACGAAAGCGAGTCTCGCGGATGCTGGAAATTCCAAAATTATCGCAATACCACTTAAAACGATAAACGAATACGCGCATTAACTTTTGCATTGCGGGGTTTTCGTCTTTGTGCAATACCTAGAGACAGTACAGTTGCACACAATACTTTACACATTCTGAACAATAATATTATTTATTCGAAAAATGGAGGTTCTTGCAGAGTGAATTATGAATTCTAATGCAATTTCACGTACAAAATGTGTTGTTACTTTCGCCCGTTGTCTGTAAGTATAATAGATAGATGTAGCCACAAAATGTGTATTCTTGTCATTGTTTGCAGATCAGTTAACAACATTGAAGAGTATAACTACATTCAGGGTTGGATGTGTAATTATTCAGATTAAGATGCGCAATTTGCATAAAACCTTGTTAAACAGAATATAGTTCAGAGTTACAATTTTAAAGTTGAAGCTGGTTCTTCTCTTTTCCGTAACAGTCTTTAAATTGTAACTATCTTCTAAAATAAGAACTTACATTTTTTTAATGTGATTGTTGTCCACAAACGAGCGTATGGATTACGCCCATGGACACCCGCAACCACAGACGAGCTACGAGTGCGTTGCCGGCCTTTTGGGATTTAAGGATTTGGAGATTGGGGGACCCCTCCCCCAATCTCCAAATCCTTAAGTAAATCCCTAAGTATTGGACCTCCGGTAACCTCACTTACCCCGCGAAACACAACGCTGTGGTTTTTTCACGACGGTTTTCTGTGAGGCCGTGGTATAACTCGGTCGAGCCGACCCATTCATGCCGAAGCATAGCTCTCCCACACTTAGAATTCCATGACTTTTTGCAAGGACTCTCTCATAAACCAATCAACGTTTTTATGAATGTCAATTGAGGTTGAAAGCTTTTGGAAGGACACAAGAGAATGAAACTACGACAGCCGACAACCCTAAGCATTCTAAGCAAGCTTAACTATTGTCATTGCCAACATATTCGTGGCAACACGATGGGAATCTGTAGAGTAAACGCAGCATTGTGTTTCGAGTAATATGCCTAATTTATAAGTAGCTGAGTACGACGGGCCTTATTGTTCGTGACACCTGCTCTTCTAATGGCGGACGCAAGAAAGTTGATACACATTAAATTACAATTTATCAGTAGAAAGCTTGGAAACGCGTAATAAAGAGCAACGTAAATTATTTTATTTCATAACTAGATAATAACAGATTTGTGACTTCTATTCTATAATTTAAGACCTTCATTCTTATTTTAAAGGTCAAGTATCGATATTATTTTGTATCCCTTCTTAATTTAATTTCATGATTTTTTTCTTGATAAGAAACAAACTTTAATTAAATTTCTCCTCAAATGTTGGCATTAGATAATTATAATTATAACTTCCGTTACAACTTAATTTAACTTAAATGAACGAGAATTCGCAAATCTCAAACATTCGTAAAATATTATGAAATTAGAAAGTTAGAAATTATTCGTAATAAAAACATCCTTTTCGTAATTTGAGTTGTTTGAATATCATGTCATCTTCTCCAAATAAGAACTTTATAAGAATTTATAAGAATTTTATGCCTGGTTATTATTATTTTGGCAAGGGCGTTGACTCATTGTTGTTATTAAGCTAAAATGCGGACAGAGTGTTGCACAATATGTCGCGGACGTAGCATGTAACTATAAGGCATCCTGTCGACGTAACCGTCGCATGAATCATGCGGATAGTGAAAGTGGCATATATTTCGTGAGCACAGCCCTGTCTGCGGGCTCCGTGATCTTTGTAGCACCCGCACTCAAGCCAGGAGCTGCATAGGGTTTATAAGTTGACAGGCAAACTATTGTTTTATCTGAAATGGTTGTCGGGTTTATCACCTTCTGTGCCACATTTAATATGGTATTTTCGTGACCTGCATGGAAAAATACATTTTCAGTTTTTTTTATTAACAATGAAATTTTTTTTTATTACTTTGTACTAATTACATAAAATGTATTATTTAAATTAATTTATATCGTAGCAACTTGTTTACAATAAATCTTAGATCCTTCGCATACCAATCCACGGTTAAGTAAATATTTTCGCACTACTGTGCAAATATTATTATGTGAAAGCTCTGAACTAGTTGCACTGAGGTTTATAGCCACCTACAAACAGTATAAAGAAAGAAAATATTGATTTAACAACTTAGATACCCGCGCGGCCGGAATAGATGGAGAAATATTTGTATCTTGTTTTTCTTTTATGTAAATACCAATGTGGTTACGAATCGCCTTTGTTACTGATGTAAAAGTTTACAAAACTGGGTCAGTTAGCACCTACTCACAGTCTAGAATAACTAGTGCATTCATAATAACTTGAGAGGTTTTTGTTTCGTAGATGCATAAGGACCGGGATTACATAAACATTACGAAACACCGTTTTCACAGTTTGTCTCTCCTAAATTGAGTTTGTAAATGAATTCGTCTTTTGTAGCTATTTACAATGTGTCTTTTGTGTTTGAGGAGCGTGAGATTACGAGAGCTCCAGCGTGGGGCCGATGAATGAGCGACAATAGCTCGAGGGCGCTGCGGCCGCCCGCCTCCCGCCGCGGCCGCTGCGCTTGAGCCGCCTGGCGTACACTTTCACTGGCTGGAATAGGCTTTGCAGCGATTGTTTATATCTTGTTAATGCGCCTTTTATGTCGCATCTAGATGTATCCGGCTGATGTGACGGCCGTTGACTCCGTTTCTAATTGTGGTTAACTACAAGATTAACTATTCTCTTGCCACTTCTTATTCAACAGGTGAAGTTTAGTCCGATGTCTGTTTGCAGCGTGTGACTGCATTTAGTCTTTTTACCTCTCCAAAACTATGAGAAACAAAACACGAATAAACATTTTAAGTATTATATTTATGAAAGGAGTTTGATTGCACTTGAAACAAAATATTATTAATTGTTTCTAAGGAGCTCTACTACAATCATGAGATTAAATAAATGAAACTATAGCAAGGCAACTATACTAGTGAGTGATTTGTTGGTTATTTATTCATAATACACGTACATATGTTATTATATGTATCTACCGCCGAAGCAAGTACATATGTACATACACTAAAATGTGGAATGCTTCAAGATTTTGCGTATCATCATTGCGCAGGGCCCATGCTAATTTTCTAGCTATCGTTACTATTTTTGGTATTTGAATTGGATAGTTTCCTAGGTCAAAAATAAATTCATTTCATGTTTAAATACAATAGAATATTGAAAAATAACTATACTTTTATTCATCGATCGATCGATACACTAAATTTTAGATACTTTTTAGCGAATATTTAGGAAATAAGTAAACTATTTGACCCAAAAAGAACTATGACGGCATAACTCAGTTTTTCATGCAAATTTCATAGAAAAGTATTGTTTTTGACATTTCAATAAAAGCATTGAATTTGACTAGTTGGAAACTACCGTATTAGGTACATGGAAAACTATCAGTCTGAATTCCTTTATTTATTTAGAATAAAATAACACATAATGTTCAGCCATTAAGTAAATAATAGCACATTAACACCTTACATATTCTCAGAAATCTACACAAGTTTGCTAAAATAATGTCGCTTTACATCTATTGGTTTACAAAACAATTACTAGACATTAAAACCAAAAAAATCATCACATTTCATAGCAAAATAAGGCAATTTATTACTGCGCTGGCTTTTGTTCGCGTGGAATACTGACTTCCTGCAGATTTTTGGTTTAAAAACTATCCTATGTCTTTTCTCGAGTTCCAAACTCTGTTTGTACCAATATACTTTAGGGTAATCAAAAACATGTATAATTATGTTTTAAATATCAAAGGCTACGTTACTAACAAATAAGTCATTTATTCATCAAAAATACAATAAATAATGTTTTTGACTTCCAATTACTTGAAATTTAAGGATTGTTAAAATAACATTCGTACGGGCAATCCATTAAACTCCAATAATACAAGTAGTTTACATCACAATGGCACGATTTATCGCTTGTCGGTTACATGTATTGTTTACCCCTGCTTGACGGCCTGGCTGTAGGTGTAAGGCCGTACGGGACTGGCCTTGCCTTGGCTGTCGTAGTAGTTAATAAGCGCCTGAACACTACCGGGGCCAGGGGTTGGTACAGGTTTAGGAGGTCCGGGTGGGATGATGACACCGGGCTTGTTCTGAGCGGGTGGTGGGGCAACTTGAGTAGGTTTGGAAGGTAACTGAGGTGTTGGCTTAGGAGCTGGGGTTGGAGCCTTGGGCGCGGGTGCTGGTGCCGGTGCCGGTGCTGGTGCTGGTTTAGGCACCACCGGCGCAGCTGCTGGACTCGGTTTGGCCGCGGGAGGCTGCACAGCAGGCAGCGCCCTCACGCCCCCACTCTCCATGTTAATAAAATCGATGTTAGCATTTTTGTTTATCGCCAATATCTTCCGACCTGAAATTGAAACACGTAACGTTTAAGAAAGTCGTAATGAAATAAGTTTCCTTTCCTTCAAAGAAAACCCGTATGGTTGTGTTATAAGTAGAAATGAATTGGAAATTGATTCATCAATTAATTTTAACCGCAGAACGATAAGCCAAATCACCGTCATACTGTGAAATCGTTGAACAAACCAATTATATGTATTGCAGTCGTTTATAAATATAACCAGTAAGTAAATCTTAAAGTAGATTTTCTTCAATCTATTATAGTTTCTGTATAAAACTTGTTCTAAAATGAATTATACTCACATTCGACAGAACAGAAGACGAATAACAAGAACAAAGCTGCAGACTTCATGTTGCTCAACTGACTTGTGTTCCTAGCACTAAACTTTAACGTACTGCCGGCGTCTCTTAATTACAAACAGTGATGTGCGCAGACTCTGATTGGTTGATACCGATATTTCGCCAGGGTCGAATCGTGCGAGGCGGTTAGTCGAACCGAACTGGTCACGTCACTGCGTCAGCGACCTCTGCCAGTCGTGACCTCATCGATAACATGTTATGTTTACATTTACACAAACAAATCTCGATTTAATTAAGTCGTCTAACAAAATATTTTTGTAGGTAGGAAAATAATTCTCTTTTTCTATTTTAAAAAAAGTCCTATGTCATTTATGATAAGGTTGATATTAAGCTGTATCAAGATTCTGTAATCTGACAGAATATTATCAGAGGTTACTTCAGAAGAATACTTTCCAGCTACCTTAGTGTTTTACATACTTTATCATATCTATTTTTTTAAGTCTCATATAATTATATATAATTACTTATAGCTAAGCAGGAAATAACTCTCTAGCTAAAGAACGTGTAACTATCAAAATGAAACTTTAACTTCGGAAGCACACGCAAACTTCTTATAACAACCTTGTCGATAACTAATAGATATTCCCACAGCGTTTGTTAAACTCGCTCACCTTGTTTTAACACGGAAGAACTGCAATGCATCTCCTTTTTATCATCAATGATGCATCTATTTTAAGGGCTATTCCATGTTGCGGGGCAAGCGCAATAAGGCACAGGGAGAAGGAACAGGGGTTTTTAGTTAGTAAGAGTCTAAAACTCGCTTTTGCCCCACCCTGGGGAGGAGAAGACATTTGATGATTTTTCCCCCCACAAAAAAAAGGTACACACTATACTTGTACTTGTAGGTATCCATCAAGCATATTAACTCAAATCAACTTATCACGTCACTTATCACCAGATCTACAGCAAAGGCCAAGAAAACAAATATAAGTTGTAATGTAAGTTCAAAATAGAAAATTCTATTAGAAATTTATATGTTATCGAAGCCAAGGATCGGAAACGGAACTCGATGCTCAGCACCACATCTAGATTATATAAAACTAAATACCTTAAGACGGTATAGCTGCAAAATATTTAGGTACTACTAGCTTCCGACCGCATCTTCTCTCGCGTCGTATGTTGATAAAAAGCCTATCTAGTAAGCCAGAGATAATATATAGTATATATCACCTACCTACGTACCAAAATTCAACCAAATCAATCCAGCGGTTTTCGCGTGAAAAAATAACAAACATAGGTCCATACTTTCCCACAAACATACACATTTTTAATATTAGTAGGATAGTAGGATAATCTTACCCAAAAGACAAGTCATAGAGATAGCATAATATATTTATTTTGATAAAATATTTAAAATATATGATTGTTTGTTTTCGTGTTTGAGGTACAGTACCTATGCTACATGATTTCTTAGAAACTCAGATGCAAAACACTTCTCATATTTATGTTAAATAAATAATAAGGCAAATTACTTTGATATAGTATATTTATTAACAAATCGATATCTAAGTCTACTTAGAGTTATTTATCACAGTTTATTATCATTTATTATGTTTTCGGCTGCCGAAAACATAATAACTAATTTTGTATGTCTCACGAAAGTTATACATATAATAAAAATACAGTTTATTATCATTTTAAATATGACATTTAATACGCAATTCCTACCTTACTAGAAATAACGTTGTGAATATTAATGTACATATTTAGTAAGACAAAACGAAGTAAAATGTGTACTTCTGCCGACCATAGACGCAACGAAAAAGCGATATTATTGTGTTTATTGTTTGAAACTCGTGGGCGATAAGAAAACCGCAGCTACCGGACATGCAAATAATTGACAATATGGCGGCCAGTTACGTTGTTACTTCTATTAACTACCACAGACTATCACTCGTTCTATATTTGAGTGAAACAAGAGTATGCCTAATTGTATTTAGTATCTAGGTAATTTGAATTCTCAGTAGGTACGAATCATGAGACAACTGTATGTAATTATTATATGTATTGTGTTTAAATGTTTCAAATAATTTCTTTTATTTACTGTAAATTAAAGTCGGCGTTTTTTATATTGTTCCGTACTTATATTGACTTTACTGGGACTACTTCTTATAAGCAATCCAATTACGGCCTGCCTAGTGTAACAAATGTACAATATTGATAAGTGTCTGTTTCTGATGGAAATTCGATTCCCGTAATAAGCAATCGGCGCAGTCAATGGACATCCGCAACCCGCAACCCCAGAGGAGTTAGGTACATTGCATAGCCAGCTTTATGGGGGTTCGGGAATTGGGGATTGAGGATGGCATGGGGAGGTAGAGGATTGGCCTCAAGTAACCGAACTCAAACGGGGAAACACAACGCTGCGGTGGCTTACGTCAATTTTACGTGAGGCGGTGGTATCTCTCGGATCTAGGCGGTCTATACAAGGCTGAGCATGGAACTCCGACACAAAAAAAAATTATCCTTTCATCCTTAAACTTACAACTTTAATGAGAAATTCAGCCATTTCATACCACAACCAGTCATTCCGGCTGTTAGAAGGATAGCTAATTAAGTTAGAAGGCTCTAACACTAACAGATATACCATTAGTTAAAATTAAAATCGATCATAGTTGAAATTTCAGTTTATTCAACGATTACCTAATAAGTTTCCCAAGCTGTATATATATATATCTTAAGCACTATCTAGGCACTTATACAATATTAGAAACTTCGTAGCATGTTATTAAGACCTTATTGTATTTAATTAAAGAGTACATCACTAGGTTAGTAGCAAAGCAAAGTATTCCAAATATTTGCAGCGTAGTATGTACGATTGTACAGTTCGTTAACAGCACCGTACAAGTATTCAAAGAGTCGATTGGACGAGAGCCTAATGCATTAAACATAGAGTAAGATACGATTTTCCCGCAGTGCGCGGGCGCAGCACGCTACTCCTGCATTGCGCGTGCGCACTCGCCCGCAACGATGCGCTTCTGATAATGTCTCTTTTCTGATAACTTTCTTTTATTGGCGGGATATAAATACTACTGCAGTTGTCTCGTATCCTGATTCTACATCCGTATGTTATTGATCGAATGTCGTGGTGACCCAGAGTATATGGCGCCTTCTTTTCATGCATGAGGGTGCGGATTTAAAACCTGGCTAGCACCAATCTGACATTGTCAGAGTTATATGTTCTTTCTTAAATTATACAGGCACCATAAGAGCACGGTAATGGAATACATCAAGGTGTTGAAGAATCCTGAACTTAACCCAATTATACAATCACAATCAGCATCCGCATTGAGCAATTGTGGTGCGGTCTCACTAACTGTATCCGTAAATTCTGTATATCACTAAATTCTTACACTCATTAATCTCCACTACGTGAAATTATTACATGCGGTACCTACTTAGACGTTTTCTAGGTTGAGCTAAATTTAATTTGTACATCGCTAATTAGGTCCCTCTACGTCTCTACGTAGATTACTCTTACAGCCTTACCTGGGTAAACTAAACTAAACTAAACTTTTGCATTGTCTATCATCTATCTATACTAATATTATAGAGAGGTAAAATTTGTAAGTTTGTATGTAGGGGGTAATCTCTGGAACCGCTGGTCGGATTGCCAAAATTCTTTCACTGATAGATAGCTACAATGTTCCTGAGTGCTATAGGCTATAAATAATCACGCTACGATTAAGGAGCTGAACAGCGGGTGAAACCGCGTGAGAGTAGCTAGTAACTTATAAGTTACAATGTAACAAGTGAAAAGTTTAAACATGACGCTATTTAAATATGATCTCATTGAAACTTAATTTCCTTAATTAAACCACATTGTACCTACCTACTTGTTATTTGCTCCTTATGCAGGATTGATCACTTTGATGAATGTTCAAATGAAACCATTGTTTTGTTGATGCGTCAACCTCAAAGAGGTAAAATAAGTAAAAAATATCTAAATATCTTATTCTCATAAACACCGGTTATTTTTTAAAATACTAATCATAAGTGATTTTACTCATACAAACACACTAATAAATGCCAACAAATCCACCTAGGTATAATATGATAAATGCGTTGCACAATTCATTCAAGTTTACAATATCATGAATAAGGTAAACAAGTCTCAAGTATCCGCACATGGCGAGCAGTACGCGAGCAAGTAATGTACACAATTATACGATTTATGTGAACTGAGGTGTGTTTGAAACTTGTGGAGGTCAATTCTGTTTACCAAGACTGAATCCACTCGTCTCATATTACACATTCAGGGCGGTCAACGTTGTCGACGCAAAAACCATCGCGTTAAGAATCCCAACGACACGTATCTATAATACTGGCATGACATCACCCAAAGGTCGCGCAGTATCGCAGCTCGCCACGGGCTCAGAGATCACTAGTGCGCCGTGATCGCGCTAGGAACAACGTAGTTCTTATCCAAAATGAAAATCGTGCTAATTTTATTGGTTTGTTTGGCGGCAAGTCGGGCCGACGACTTGGGGCAAGCCGCGGGCCAGATCTTCAACAGTATCTTGCCCAATTTGATCGGCAACTCTATAACTGGTCAACAAGGAAACACTGCTACCAACACTCTTCAGCAGATAGGAACTGTAGTGGGCGGTGTCGTCGACTATGCCAAGAAGAAGAGCTACGAGGATATGCTGCGTCAGGTGCAGGATTCGACCACAGATGAAGATATCCTGAGAGTCAGCGAGGAAATGTTCAATGCGGATATCAACAACGCTTTGCCATACATCCAAGTGAATTTGCAAGGCCAGACCAGCGCTCTGTCGAAGGACGACAAGGCGCCTTCAAAGTAAGTTATTATTTAGTTTAACATGTAGGTATCTGTTAGTTTACTAGGCTGGATTTTGGTAGAAGATACTTCTTCAACTAATTATCACTACAAATAAAGCGAACTACATCGCATGCGCATTGAACTCTACTTTTTTATCTACTTTTTTTTAATTTGTAATGTATGTCTAATGACTTTGTTTATTAGGTACCTGCCACCTAATGATTAATGTACTTACCTACTTACATTTTTTATGCATTTAGTACCTAATATAAGTAAATAACATATGTCTATTTGATTAGGTATCTAATGAGCTAATGGGTGTATTCAGAATTTAGATGATTTAGACAGCCGATCGCCCTCATAACTAGGTACCAACCTACGAATTGAATTGAATAAACTTTGTAGTTGTACCAAGTCATTGCTATTAGGAACAAAATAATAATATATATATATAGTCTAGGAATAAATATAAACTAGATATAAATTTATATTAATACCGTTTTGTCTATTAGGTATGTATAAAAATCTCAATCAACAAGTCCACAGTATAATAACTAAATGCAATTGACATCTTTGTAGCCTCCTGAGCGTGCCTGAGAACGTGTGGAACGGACCAACCATCAGGCCTTTTGTTGCTCTCTTCGACAACTACCACAAAAACGTGATTAGACCAGAATTCGTCACACCTAATGTAAGTATACATATACTACTATCTATATACGTAGTAATTGAGCAATTTATTGTACATAAGTACAAAGAACTAGCCAGCTGCAGACAAGGTAAACTAATATAAAGTGATGTCATGTTGCAGGAGGAAACGGAACAAGTCACTTTTATAAACACAATCCTTGCGACCGGGCCAGTAAGGAGTCTAATGAACTTTTTGGTCAGCAAAGGTAATCAAACCTGTTTTATTTTAACGTATTACATCACCGACGCGATATATTTTATTAATAGCTAGGGTTACAACTCTAGAGGCCTTCTGAAACTTAAATGGCATTCTAATACCTACTTTTTACTTCAACTGATTTAATTCGGACTACAAAGAAAAGATTACCTGCACTATTAGGTACAATAATTTACTGTAGGTACCCACATTCAAGCTGTACTTAATGTGTTAAAACATATAAAACCTAGTAGCTTAGTTGTTTTAAAGCTCGTAGTTAGGTAGGTAGATGTCTAAAGGTGTTCAGCATCACGGATGTTTAAAAATGCAAAACGATACAGGAAAATTATGAGGAAAATCCGTAGGTAGGTATTTTAAAGAACGTTTCACCATATAAAAATTAGATATATATTTTTAAGATGGAACACAAGTACCTATGTACGCCTTCAGTCTAACGAATCACTATCTAGAAATTCCGTTTACTGACTATCAACACGTGTAATTACTACTTTTAACGTGAAAACACAATGATATTAATGAATAGACATACATATTATTTAAGAAAATCGCGCAAAAGCGCGCGAAACAGTTTGAAACAGTTTTCTCGTTCTGGCGTAGGACTAGTGTTGCCCGCCCTCGCTTAGTAGGATTTTATTCTTATTAGTACATTTTTATGTAAGGTTATAACCAACAACAAAAACTCAGCTTAATGATCACTATATTTGACCCCAGGTCTGACTCAGATGAACGAATACAATGAGCAAGTGCAATTGCTGAAGAAAATCTGGTTCACAAAATACGCGCGCCATTGGACCGGCCTGTGCAAGTGCAGCTGTGCTTTCGAGAACATTTTCATGGCCGAACTTAAGTCCAACGATGTACTTGGTAAGTAATACAATATTAAGTGTGGGAGTCATGCTTCGGCACGAATGGGTCGGCTCGACCGGGGTAATACGACGGCCTCAGAAAAAACCGGCGTGAAACAACCACAGCGTTGTGTTTCGCCGAGTGAGTGCGGTTACCGGAGGCCCAATCTTTTCTCTCTCCCAATCCCTCCCCAATCCCTAAATCTCCAAATCCCTAATCCCGAAAAGGTCGACAATGCACTCGTAACTCCTCTGTTCCGGGTGTCCATGGGCGGCGCTGATTGCTTACCACCAGGTAATCCGTCTGATCGTTAGCCGACCGATCGTTTGCACAAAAAAAAAACTAATCAGTAAGATTTCTTTTACGTTTATTGGGCAATTTGTTACACTCGTAGTAGGGAATTTGTCTATTGATTATCACTATCTTACATTGAGTTCGATCTCGATTTTAAACAAATGTAACTTAATATTCATACTGAGATTTCGTATGTAATTTCTTGATTGGTACCTCCATTGTGTTTTCGTTTATCTTTCGGGTCACATTTTCATTTATTATTTTTTCTTATTTCTTAGAACAGACAATAAGAAACTTTTAAACCTTTTTTTGTTATTTTTGCTGTATGGCATAAATATCGTGTGCACGCAGGTATCCATACTTGTCGGGTGGCATATACCTATTACAGTCCAGAATTTGATAAAAGCGAACATATCTAGGTACCTACATATATATCTACCCTAATACTAGCCCTGCTCATAAAAAAATTAAATATTGTTATGCCCGACAGGGCCCACAATGCTCTTAAACTAATATATGTAAATCCTTATGTACCCTACCACATAAGTTCACACTGTGGAATGCAATAAATATATTGAATTGAATACCTACAATGACAAGAACACCATTGTGAGGAGTCCCCTTTGTTCACAATTACATCATCAATTAGGACTACATACGTGCCGTGGCTTCCCCAAAATAACTTTGAAGGTCGTATAAAATAAAATTAAATGCTAGATGCGTAGTTTTGGTAAACTAGTATTTAAATAGGCTTTCTTCCGGCCATAGAATTGACTATGTCTATCTATCTAACATAATACAAGGTGTTATGATATGATAATAGATATATACCTATAGATAGGTATACGTTATCTTAGACACCATAACCTTAAGTGTGGGAGAGCCCTGCTTTGGCACAAATGAACAGGTTAGAAGTGATACCACGTCCTCACAGCAAACCGGCGTGAAACCACCACAGCGTTGTGTTTCGTCGTGTAAGGTTACTGGAAGCCTATACCTCCCCCGACCCCAGATCTCCAATCATCCAGTTTCTAAAAGCCCCCAAAGTACCAGCACTCCACACGCCGATTCGCCGACGTCGATTGCTAACTATCTGGTGATGCATCTGCATTAGCAATTTTTTTAAATATATATATATATAAAAAAATGCTTCTAACCTAAGTACTAAGTACCTAACTATAAACCAGCACAGCAAATCTGTCCTTAATTTATTTAGGAATGATCAACACATCGATGACTTATAATATTTTCCGTTTGTACTTGCAGGTCTGCACAGTTGGCTTTTCTTCGCAAAGCGTGAACAAGACCGCAAAGCCAATTATTTGGGCTACATAGACAAATTGGACCTATCCGGGGTAAGTCTAAATAGTGTGTTAAAATGTAATGCTTCCTTGTTTACTTAACCTGGATACATCATTTAGAATAGAAATAACATAATCACCTTCGATAAAAGTATTATTACTGCAACCCGGTTACCAAGCAAATCACCCGTTTATTTATCACTATACATATTTATTTTTGACTGCTAGGTGCAGTGTTCAATCGTCTTAGTTAATCGTGCCAATTTTCTTTTATTAACACCGTTCCACCTCACTTTCCTTTCAAAATAATAAGTATCCATTGATTGAGCGAATTTCGAATATGTAACAAGTTAGTTTTCTTATAGGTGTAATTTTATCTCAACACATTATATTATTAATTTACAGAAAGGAATGATTCTGAAGCAGCACTCCGTCTTGAGTGAGACTAAAGACGCCCCGGAGGTGACGATGTTCGTCGGCACTTCGCCGGAGTTGGAGCTGTCCCTGTATACTCTATGCTTCATGGCTCGCCCCGACCGGCCCTGTAGGCTGCGCTACAACAACATCAACTTCTCCATACAAACCAAGACCTTGAAATCAGAAAATGTGATGCTTATCGACACCGCATACCCCATCTACTAAATTAATAAACCATATATTTCAATGCCTCAGCATATACTCCATACGTGATATTTATATACTTACCTAAATTGTAAAACCTAGAGCTTTCTCATATTTACTTCAATAGATATAAATAAATGTTCCCAAAACAGGAGCTTGCTATGTACTAAAACATAGATAATGCCAGAACCGAGCAAGTTATCAGTCTGATCCGCAGGTCGTGGCCTCACGATAAGCAAGTAATTAAACACGAATTTCGCAATAACTTATTTCAAGTATTGATAATGATAAAATAATAAAACAATTTTAATGTAAACATCTTTTTATTGCAACATTTCTCTAAAACACAGACTAAGTATAGGACAAAATCCACATAGATACTGATGTTATGTAAAATACTTGATGTTGTATGACGATACGGTTACAAGAAGTGCAATCCATGAAATTATTGTCTAAAATGGCACAAAGTATTCTGACACCAGCTAGTCTTCGGTACAATAATTCGTAACACTATAATTACAAAGGTAGGTTAGTGAGTTGAACAAGATACTGCGTCACAAGAACACCTACTATACGGCAAGGAACAATAATAACGTTTTCAACGCATAAATATAAATATCCAAACGAAACAAAAGAAAAATATTAACATAGTATAGTTACATATATGTATATGTCAATGTACAAAACTGATTAATACAAACATACTTACTTTGTAAAGAGACTATATAAATAAATATAATATAAAATACATCATTAAATATAAATATTTAGCTGCAATAACGTTAATCACACAAGTCAATAAATAGCTTTAAAAATGCTTAACAAAAATAAGATTCTCAGTAGAGATAACAAAAGTACTGAACTCCGACCTCTTCCGATTACATTTCACGAGCACAACAAATGCTTCGCGTCTATCATAATGTTAAACAAACGATAAACATAGTATATAGAAAAGTCAAAACTTTAAACAGATCAAGATGTAAATGAACCCGTAATACCACATTACAGAATACTAAAAGTTATCTTTAAATACTTCATCGTATTATAAATGTATGTACAGCGTGTAACGAAAAGGTATATCTAAGCAAACGGATTAAAAATCCTTTACTAGATAGTAACATCTCCTTATAAAGCAAAAAGTAAAAAATATAGGTGCAGGATAACGGTAGTGCGGTGGGGTCTTCGTATATATAACACTAAAGAGGGCCTGGAACACTCTTTGTTTGCACGCTGTATATAAACTTAAATGTATTTGATATTATTTTAGTCGCTACTATATCTTACAACATTTCATCTGATCAAATTGACGGTAAAGATATGTTTTAAATACTTTTGACTAGAATACCGTTGGATGATTTTCATTGATATTTATCTACAATTTTAGTCTTACATTGTATATATAAAGTAATTAGCTTAAAATTGAAAATTCTCTAAAATATGTACACACAAAAATGTCTTAAACCACCGATTCGATAAGTTCATCTTTCAAAGTATTCTTGCCTATACACTTACAAATGTATCTTAAAGCGGTACAGATTAATTATAAAATTCGCAGTAACCTTATTAAATGTTTCTACAAAACTGATTATAACTTAAAAATAATACATGATTTTACAGTTGACGTGATTGCGTGAATTTACACTTAATTCAAACGAAATACGAGCCATACTCGTGTGGCATGACACCTCGGCGAGGGTAGAAGGTATGCGTGAGCGAATAGTTCATCAGATTGGTGATATTGGAGGTATAGATGTCAGCGAAGCGGAACAGACGTCTCGAGAAGTACGTTGGGTTGTGGTACGTACGAAATACACTACCGAATTGTGGGTTAAATACTGCCTTTATTTCATTCCTGTAATTGACAATACATCTCCTACAATGGAAGCATGTAAACAAAACACACAAGCGTTATTTACAGCCAATCACAGAGCCAATAAGTAAAATACAATTGCAATTATTATTTTTTAATTTTACCAAAATCAAGAGCGACCATTGAACATTTTAATATGTATTTATAACTATAATTTAATATATATTTTACAGATGAAACATCACATTGAATAGGGGAATGCCTTAAACAGTGTCAGTTACCCAGTTAACACAGGCGGGCGCAATGTTAGTATTCGATAATTAATTTGTCTTTTTTTATTTGAATTTGGTATTTTAGTATTCTTTAGTATTTTATTGATATAACTTACTACAGTCCGTGATCGCATGAAACAGAGAATAGAAATTTAAATGTTAAATACTAACCTGAGATAATCCCTCTCTGCCATCCACTCGTTGACGACCTCGAGCGCCTCGGCGTCCTTATAGTCTTGGTGATCTTCTATCAGCTGCGTCAGCATTTGCAACCAGTTGGCGTTTTCCTTGAACGACTGCGTGTTCAATGTGTTGATTTCATGCTGGAAATTATTTAAAACATTAATAACTTTTACGTTTTTAGCCTCGGATTCAATAAATTTCTCTCTGTATCGTATGAATCTTGGGATAAAAGTAGGGTAAACTTTTTTTAATTCCGCCGTATATGCAAACAAATGAACAAACCTACCTATTCCTAAACCTACACAAACACATTATAATGTGTAGGTAGCGAGTCTGATTCTATCATGTATTATCGGCTACAAATCAATACTAGTACTACACGCACCAATGGAGATTTTGAAACGGAATAATAGCATTTCGCACAGTGATAGGTCGCACTTAAAAGTACTAGATTTAACAATACCGACGATATAGTAAATGAGGATTGTGCTCACAAGATGACAACGACGTGTGGCATGATGACTAGTGTGGCAATACATTTTCTTTTATTTATTTTTTTTATTGATTATAGGTTCGCGCTTGACCGCTATCTCACCTGATGGAAAGCGTAAAAAATACATAGTAATAATGTAAGTAATAAACTTTTAAAGTAATAATAATAGATTGGTTTGCGACAATACATTGGAGTGCAATGCAATGCAATTATGTAGCGCTGCCCGACCGAGAAAAAAAAACAAAGCTTTCTCAATAATAAAAAGGTCTACATTCACAGTTTATGTCTTCTGAGTTCTGACTGATGTGGTAATGATGATGAGTAGGATAATGAATTATTATTATAGTATCACTCACTGTCAACTCGTTTATGATGGCTCCAGTTCGCCAGCCGTGCTCCAAGGTAACGTCCGCGAGGTCGCTGTACGGATGGTCTCCGAAGTACAACACCTGATGGCCGTACCATCCCGTCAGATCCTGTAACTGCTTCACTGTACCCTGAAACATTATGGACATTGCTATTTTAATAAAATGTTAAGAGGTTTTAGTTAGTATTGTCTTTTAGTAACTTGCTCCCTCGATTGTCAAGTTTTAGCAAGTAGAATGTTCAATCGAATATCCTGACGGATTCGAGGATTATTATATAATTTTTATAATTTTATGGTATATGGCTATAACATGAGACACGCAAATGGCAAAGCGGAACTGACGTAAAATTGTTGTTACATCTAAATAGTACACCTGTTACATTTTCAATTTTCAGTAAACCAGTACCAATGCAAACTATCCACTTTTATTACTTTGTAAATAGGTGAACATACCTCATAATATATGATTCCCTTCTCTAACGACGAGACTTTTTCCCATATATGTGTATTGGCGTTTTTGTCAAAGACTCGAATGGGACGCGACACCTCCGTGAAGAACTTCGGTTTATTCGCATTCACGATTACTACGTCGAAGTAATCCCGCCAATCGTGACCCACCAACATTTCCATACCCGCATTTCTGAATAAGAGAACAGAGAAAAAATATAATCATCATTCTTTATTTTCTTTTTACTTTTTCTTGGAAAACATTGCCACACACTAGGATTTTCTCGTGTGTCTTATGTATGTTTACAAACACACAAATTCACATAATTACAAGCCAGCCAGCAGACTCGAAACAACAATTTGTAAAATGCAAATTGTTGCTCCGTGCGGTAATCGAAACCGCGTCACGTTGCACAGCAGCTAGTTGCGCAACCACTGCACCAAACTTGCAGTCAAAGTCTAGTCTATTGAGATTGTAATCAGATTTTTGTTTGTCGACTTGCTTGTGATTAAGCTTATGCTCATTAATAACAATATTATTGTTGTAATATAGCATTTAATTAGCCAATTAGCTTTAAATAACAACTATGTATTTAGTACTTACACAAAGTGATAGGGACTGTTTGTAACAAGGAACAGTTTCTTGTCATTTTCTTGAAGCATTTGGAAATATTTCCTCAAGTCTGAATTGGGCCTAATATACTCCTCCACATTCTGAGCAACTATTTTGTGCATGATTGGGTGACAGCTCTGAACTGAGTTCTATAATTAAATATCAAATTTGTTATTACAAATTAAAGCAAAATTTCAGATAATATTTTATAATTTATTGTACTATAGTTTTTTTGTTACCTTGACATCTAAGAACAGAATTTCTGGATGATAATCAATATGATTCCTAATGAAATATTCAGCTACATTACATAGTAAACCCATTTCCGGTACTGAAAATAGGTCAGCTAAATGCACCATCTTGGCTCTGTTTGGCTGAAAAGCAGAAATTGTATATTATTTAGATGACCTACTAACTAATCAACTGCACTCAGATACACAAGTAAGCATTGACAAGTCTACACCTGCCTACCAATTATTATTACAATAATAACATACCATTACCATGATAAAACAATGTTGTATGTATGAACATATTTGCTTAACAATGGGAGATCTTTAACAAACAGATGAGGTGTGTGTGAGATCAAGTTCATACAATACAGACATGTGATATATCAATGTGTTGACACATATGGTCCTTGTGTCAACATTGCAAAGGGGAGCACAAATGAATGATTGCTTACAAGTGCCAGTGATTACTGACTGGTATCTAGTTTACAGTTGTTTGTAAATGATAGACAAAGGGATTTTCAACCTTAACCCCCTAGACATAATGATGGAAATTTGTCATAACTGACTAGTTAGTTGTATGGTTATGTAACTTGTATGTTCTCTATAGATATGAGATAATAATCACATCAAGATTTATTCACTATCACATTTATTTCTTTAATAATAAAATAAGGAATACTTACTTTATGAGCTCTTGTGTCTCCCTCAACATAAGCAATGGGTATAATTCTGTTTCTGTATAACTTGAGCACTTCTTCAGTAGATACGGGTGTAAGACCTCTATAGACAGCGCCAAACTGTATTTGTAAGAATGAGTCTAACTTCAGAAGGAGGCCTTTCTCAATATCATAGTGCAATCCTCTTACAGCAAAGTTGGGTTTATATTCCAATTGTAATATTTCTGGTGGATACTGAAAAGCAAAACATCATTAACTTATTAAGGAAGTTAAACATAGAATTTTTAGAGTGATGTGTTTTTTTATATGAAGGTTTTTTTTAATAATAGGGTGGCAACTAAGCAATGATTGCTTAGTTGCCACCCTATTTGGTTAATTAAGTTGACAAATAATTGCTCCCACACTTTACTTAAAAATGGTTCTAATTTTTTTAAAACTATCTTTGGTTAGTATCCATGTTGGATGTAGCAATTACAAACAAGTCAAAGTTAACTAGAGCTTTTGAGTATATAATTATACTTTTTTATGAAACAATCAATTGTTGAGACCTTTTAAATCAGTGTATTATTATACTGATCAACTTGTAGTTAGTTATATGCAAACTAGTGTATATTAGACTAATTATACATACTTTATACTTTTCTAATAGAATCTCCCTTCCAAGATTATATAGCAAATGCTCCAGAGATGGCTTGTAATGCGCCAGAGTATAATCATAATCAAATCCATACACTTTAACTTCAGATAAATCCAGTTCATTGCAAGCAAAAACACCCCTCGGGTTTACGTCTTGCGGTAGCTTCTTGGCTAAAAAGGTCATCAATTTTATATTAAAAATAATAATTAATTATTTGCATCGCATTTACTTGCATGAACGTGCGTACTTACATTTGAATTTTAACTTCGTACGACAATATGCTTCTTTCAACAATTCACGCGTAGAAAAGCTTCTGCGTAATAAGTCTTCTGGATATTTTTTTGGTAAATGTGATAGACAGCTTTTCCATTTTTGTATTCCATTTGTTAAATTACTACGTAAACTCATCAAAGACGACATTTTTAGTACCACTAGACGAAATGTATCACTTAAAACTTAACCAACACACATGGATCTAATATTTTACGCATTAATATCACATAAATAGATTGGGTAACTGTCAGTTTTTATTAATAATTTAAAATCATTGCATAATAATTCGAATAAACATTATACAAACACCTTGTACGCAACCCGTCTATTTTCCTACAACTGACATTGCATGACATGACAGATACTCTCTACAAAGTAAATGACAACGTCAAAGCAATTTTGTGTTCATGTCTTTTTTTTTTTTTTGGAGTTTATGGCCTGGATACACAAGTCCTTTAAGCCAAGTCCATGTCAAATCGACAACTGCAATGTTGCTAGTATATTGATTGAAATTAAGCAACACACAACAAACAATAGTGTATTTTAATGTACAAGAACATAAAATAAACATATGATATACAATTATTGCCACTACAATGATCTATGTTATTTTTTCAAAACTCTTAGTACGGGTTGTACGTCGCATTTGTGACTTTTTAAAAGTCGCTATAAAACGAACTTGTCGAATTCCTTTCTTATGAGGAGGTGTTATAAATCAAAAACACAAGAAAGATGTTAAAAATATATTTATTTCTGAGTTACTCACTCGCAAATCTTAATAATGATCAAAGTTTCATACAGCCGTGAATCAACGATGATAATTTTACATTTTTTAAAATATTTGATTATGGTTTAAAGAAAACGAGGATGGGGAGTGAAAATGAAGTAGTAAGTTGAGTATTTAAAATGCTTTTCCTTTATAAAATTATGATCTTACTAAGGTATTTACAAAATAAAGTAATTATTGACTTGTTTATATTTGAGGATATGCGCTCCCTATCAAATTTTTGCTACGATAACGGAAGTTGTAAGTTATAATGTTAACTTCTTTGTTGGCCAGTTTTAGTTTACAGTCGTTATCCACGCGTGTCACATAGCAGAGAGTATACAGTGCCATTTCCAACTCCGGTGAAGTTCCAACAAACAGGCTGTTCACAGGTTTGTCCACGCCTTGTTGATTAAAATGGATCTTCATGACAGCTCCTTTCTGGAAATTAGAAAACAAAACGGTATTTTGTATACGACGGTTATTAGTTAGATTATATACGTAGTAGGTATATGAAGCAAAACAGGAAAAACGGTGGATATACTACTAACAATTGTGTTAGTTTAATTGACGACGAATGGTAGGCAGGTTAATACTTACATCGTTAAGTAATTCATATTTCAAATATCCCAGATAATTAACTCTGTTTGCTAGTTCTTCTCGGGAGAAATATATCCAGTTATGTAAACCTACAAAAACAAACATTATAAGAATAAATTCATTATATCAAAATCCTAATAGGTAGGTGTCTAATCCATTAAGATTAAAAAAAAAACTATAGGTATAATATTTGATGTAATTTACGTACCTAGGCATAGGTTTGCATGGCTTTAAGTAATAAGTAGGTATAAAATAAACACAGTCAAACTGTGTTTCCTGGCGTGCTTTTGACAAATCGAAAGAATTTTGAATTCTTACCAGAAACTCCACCGTTTTTCAGTTCAGATACAAATACATGTTCGAATCCGGAGCTGCTTATTTTTCCTCTGCCCCGGGAGTATAAACTAAACCATATCTGTTTAAGAAAGTCTCTTTGTTGCTTCGGGTCTGGAGTCACATAGCCTGTAAGGAAATACAGTAGTTGAGGCTAAGCAGTGCTTGAGAAAATAAGTGGGGTAGTCAAGGTCGTATGCAACTGACGCGCGACGTGTTTACGGCCACGTCCTAGATGTGGTTGGTCTTCCAACCATTTGTAAAAAATTAATGTTATCATTCTGTGGTCATATTATGTATAACGAATTTGTTCGCAAAGGTTAATTACGGTCCAACAAAAATTTGTCAAAGAAAATGTTTTGAATAGATAGATTAAGTACTTACCTTTATTTTTCAAAAATAACATTAAGTGCCTCATCACAGACGTAGACATTACCGCATCCATAAAGGCATTTTCCTCGGTTCTCTCCTGCAAAATTATATTAAAAAAAAATGATTTTTGTTTGTGAGGAAAAGAAGATGTAAATACATAAGTACAAAAATAATATAAAACCATGTGCTTAATTATAATTTGAGATAGCTTTATCTTTGAATGGAAGTTCAATAGTTCAGTTCAACAGTCAGTGTTTGTGTTATTCACGGGTGTTATTTATGTAGGTTTATGCGTAAATAGGACAATAGTTAAAACTGAATACGTTTCAATACCTAAGTGGATGGAAAGCAAGTAAAGGTAATTTAATGTATTGATACCGACCTGAGCTGTTACATGTTCATTTACCAATGTGTCTCTCTCATAGTTATCTAATAATGGAACGAATTTCTGAATCGTTGGGATGTTCCATACTTCAGGCGCTATGGTAATCAATCTGTAAGACAAGTTTACATTTCAAACAAATTAGGTACATGCTTTGAAGGTCATCATAACACTAGTCACCTAGATATATTAAAAACATCGCAAGAGAATGCAAAACACTTCGTTGGTGAATCATAAGTAAGTTAACTATCTGTCAAGTCAAATCAATCGCAATGTTTTGTTGACAAACTAGCAACTTTAGATTTTTTTTGAATAATTTTATACCATAAAAAATAAGAATTATAGTGAAAATGTTGATAAAGTAATGTACATTAATCATTAATCTTTGGAAACTTCTACCCGATAAACCTCTACGGGTCAAAGGGACTTAATAAAATTTGTAACTAATAGTTGCATAAGCGACGGGATTGTTTTAAAAAGGTTCTTCTCCCTTGCCCCTAGTGGAAAAAGGCAATGATTTTACATAGTCGTTGTAATGACAACCAGTAAGATCGAAGCAACTAAGGGACAATAGGAGTATACGTCGTATTTCGTTAGTCTGCCGTGTTTCTATCACAGAGCAAATCTTGACATGTTGTCATACTCACGGGAGCGGTGCCTTATCCTCCATTGATTGAGAAGTAGTCTTTTCTTGATAGTTGATCGTTATGTATCTAGCAGCATTATTTGTATCTTTCCTTAATAACTCCTCACTTAGCACTTCTAATTCAGCATCAGTCACACCATTGGAGTTCGTGTTTGTGGTTCCTCTATTGTTGTTTAGTATCGTGCTTGGTAGTACAGGGGTTCCTGGCCGAGACGTAGGTGCACTAGGCATTCGTGTTGTAGGTATAGGAGTTGTAAATGTAGAAAGCGTGCTAGGTTTGTTACCAGCCACGACAGAGCTAAATGGTTTTGGCGTATGGGCCGATGAAGTCATAGGTGTTGACGGCACTGTTGCTGTTGGATTTGGTCCATTTTTGTTATTACCTTGTAAAATTGAACTGTAACTAAATGTTCCCCCTTGGCTTGGTGATTTACTATCATAGAAGTTGATGAGATCTTTCACCTTTCCTCCAGATCCAGTAGGTGGATTACTTGGTAGGATTGGCTTTACTGTTGTATATTGAGGAGCAACATAGTCTCGTTTTCCGTTAGATGATTGAGAATTACGTTGAGGTCCAAAGTTTTGATTATTAGATGATTGTGATGTGGATGACGGACCAAGTGGCGGAAATTGAGCAGCATTATTAGGCCTACCACCATTTTGATTATTTGATGGCAATTGCCATGCGTTAGGACTGTTCCCTCCAGAGGGCTGGGTAATTTGTTGAGTTGGCTTAACCGTTGGGTACTGTGGCGCGACATAGTCCCTTTTTCCGTTAGACGATTGGGCATTGGTTTGACGCCCAGCATTTATATTTTGGGACGCAATTGTTTGTGATTGCGATGAGCTTGGGGGACCAAGTGCTGGAAATTGAGCAGCATAATTTGATTTGCCTCCATTTTGATTTGTAGGCGATTGATTTCCGGATGGTTGCGAGCCGGCTTCGTGCAACAAGAAATCGGTATTGGAATTATAATTAAATCGCTGCCCCCTGTTGTATTCTAGACCTGGAATGATGAAAATATTTATGTTAGTACTATATTTTAATAGCTAGACTAAGAAGTGACTAATAAATATATTTAATTCAAAGGACTACAAACCTACCTACAATATTTGATAATAATGCCAACGGTTATCCTAACAAAATGCTATTGAAGTATTGTTGTAGTAGGTACCTATCAACTTATAAAAGTATTACGTTATTAAAAACAAAAAAAAACCGTGGATGTAGATATGGTAAGCGATTCGTGTCTTGGTTCGTGGTATAAAACTTTAGACTGAGTAAAGTAATAAGTAGGTAAGCCTAAACAAGTACAACAGTACCTACCGTGAAATACATTTATTAGGTACCTAGGTATTGTGCGCACAGCTACATTAATCTAAGTAGGTACGACTACATTTATGTACCTGCTTGAGAAGTGGTTGCTGTGCATTTATTATCAAGGATTCAAAGAAATTTCTACAAACCACGTAGGTACCTACCTAAAGAACAATATACTCTTGGATTGTCTTTCAACTTTGTCAAAGACCGAAATCATGTTGATATCTATTAGTCTACTAAAACTAACTAGTCTCACGCGGTTTCACCCACGTCCTCGGCTCCATTTGATCGTAGCGTGATCTTTTATAGCCTATAGCACTCAGGAACATTGTAGCTATCTATCAGTGAAAGAATTTTGGCAAGTTCCAAAGATTTCCCCCTATATAGGGGGAAATCTTTGGAACTTGCCAAAATAAAGTTACAAATTTTACCTCTTTATTATAGATGATTATGATTACAATTTTTATTATATATTATTATAGATGATTACATAAGAGTTCTAAATAACAACTTTTTATTATTTTTATGGGGAAACTTACAGCTGAGAAGATAAGTGCGCGCAGGTAGTGATCGTTTAAAAACAACTTTGAATTTCGCGCCCAAAATTACAAAACTCTTTGATGGCTACATCTAATATCTATACGTAGGATAACATGCGCTGACATTTACTTAGTTGTACAAGCAGACTTTTCCTTATTTACTTAGATCGATCTGGCAAAATTAATGAATTATTTAGCTCGAAACTGAGAAATAAATTCGATTGGTAATGACGAGTATGCGACTGTAACCATTAAAACGTAAATTACTTACGTTACCTACTCCACTTTTGTAAATTGTTACTCAATAACAAATATTAAATTCGTCAGCTTAAATAATCTTACCTAAGGCATTTTGCAAAAGAAGAACTCCACACAAAATTATCACACAGTTCTTCATGTTTTTTTTTTTGTATTTAAGGAACACACAGTGAAATTAGTTTTGCACTACATTTATGTTTGCACATATGTTTTTCTGACTCAGAACAACAGAACCACTCGCCTTGACCGCACTGCCAAGATTACCTATTGAGTTCAATATATTTCTGCTGAGAGTAGACAACTCGAGTGACGAGTCCGTACGAGGAGACCGGTAGTTCCTAGATTATTGGTGCTACAAAAATGGACTTTACTTCGTAGTGTTGAAAGTCCAATTTAGCACACGAGTAAGTCTTACAAACAACAGCTGATGTCATTTTACGCTTTCTCGAAACATAGCTTTTATTTGTTGCTCTTCATAATGTGTCTAGTTAAATTATAGATATACCTAGTTTTAATATGTTTGTGACTAGAATAAAAAAAAGACTTATATTACTCAAATAGATAGTGCTCGTAACGTAATAACAACTTAGAACTTACTCTTAAAAATGGCTAAAGCCCATGGGTAATTTATAACCAATTTATGTTTTATGGATCACCGAGTTAGGTATTCACGCCACGATTTATTTTATAACATAGAATTTGTAGGTAGGCACCTGCCACCTACCTATCTACAGGTACCTTTTTTTTGAGAGGAAAATCGGTTGGTGTAAGACTCTTTCCGACTAGAAACCCCCCGTTTCTTCTTCGCGCTAGGCCGAAGCCGCGATGCCTCATTACGCTTATCCCGTAACCCGGCCTATAACACGTGTTTGTACCACAAACAATAGGTAGGTAAGCGTTGACTTACTTCTAGATTAAAATATTCAGATACTAATTATTTGTAAATGCATCAGTTGATATTTGTATAGACAAATGAGCATACCTACTCAAATATGAGTACAACAACATCTCAAATGGTTCTACTGAGCAAGAAGATCTTAAATACACATTATCCTGATTTGTTTTCTGTTTTAATTCAAAGTAGATCCTACATACATCCTATATATCAATTGATATTTCTTCTATACCTACCTACCTACATCAATTGATATTTCTGAGGGTTGCCCTATTTTCAAAACGTTGTAACTGTACAACACAAAACTAAGACTTACCGTAATTAATTAACACGCATCACGCAGGATTATCATGAAAAGTAAATCACCTATGAAGACTTATTGTAATGAAAGACATTATTGAATATTATCTTTATATTACCGTGTTAAATACAAACATTAAATAAACTTTTATCATGAACTAATTAAACCTAGCTAAGGTACGGTACAGTAATATATTTAGCTAGTAAGTAAGGATTGCAGCAGAAAGAAGTACTAATACGAAAGAAGTACGAAGGAATAGGTAATGTAAAATAATATTTTCGCCGTAAATTGGCTTTAAATTGAATTAAATTGGCTTGACTGTGACGACCAGCAGTGTGGTATCAAACCAGTAAGAAATACTAAACCACACCTAAACCCTATCAAAGATAATAATTATGTCGTTTTTATTATACCAACTTCACCATGAAACATACTAATAAATATATTAAATTCATTTTTATACACAAATTCCATAGACATTTAGGTTTTAAAACTCACTATCTTAAAAGTACTTTGTGAAACTCACTTTCTGCGACTTACTAAAGATGGTGAATGAAATAAAACATTCATTTTAGTTCATTCTCTATCTCCGCATTCCGCTTTGTTTTGACTTTTGAAATCATTCATTCATTTACCGTCGAATTTGAAAGATGTAAATTGTGTTGTGCGTCTGAATCATGGTATATTTTTTTTATTTTTAGGATGAATATTGAATTCAAAGTTGTTTTCTGACAAAATGAAAAGCAAACTGAATCGAATCGAAAATGTTGTTCATTTTAGTTTATGGATATTAGCTTGTTTTTATTCTTTATACAAATTACTTCGTGCTCAGACAGGTAATTTTTTATAACTTTTAATTTTTTACAATAATTACATTACATTACATTTTTATCGTCTCCTAGTTCAACATAATTATTTGGGCGCATAAAAACCAAGATTCTCTATTATATCCGACTATTATTTTCAGAAATACTGGAGAGTAACCCTGATCTTCATTATGAACTAAGAGACTTGATACCGGGTTGGGGATTTTTGTCCCGGTTCAAAGATGAGGCTGATGTTGAATGGAGCACGTGGAAGTACCATGTACAGAATTCATGGCTTTATATGCTGTTTCAATTTGTTATATCTGAGACTATACGAAGATTTAATGTCCATTTATTGAAATATTGGTACATCTTGTCTAGTATAATTTTTATTACAAATTTTATGGGATTTAAACAGTTGGTAGTAATTTTTGCTCAGCCTGTTATATTCTCAGCAATTGTTTTTTCTGGTGGTGGAAAAATTAGCATATGGCTAACAAGTATTTTTCTGTTAGCTTTGTACAATTCTATGAAATATAAATATTTCTTTTGGTATTTCTTGGATACTGACCATTTGAAAGATGAAGAAGTGTTTGTCATTTTATATGGTATAGCCTGGGTTGAATTGAGATGTATTAGTTTTTGCCTTGATTATGTAGACAGAAAAGAGAAGCTTGCAAATCAAGCTCAAGAAAAGGAAAAACTAAAAGAAGCATCAGTATTTGAAGAATTAATTAACATGTTTAGCTATATACTGTACCTGCCATTGTTGTTTGTTGGACCATTAATACTGTATGAAGAATTTGAAAAAAGTTTCTGTGTAAAGAACGAAAAACTGACAATGAGGCTTAAATGTTTTATTCTGGAAATGTTGCGGTTCCAGATTTATACTATTATATTGGAATTAGCATTTCATTTTGTATATTTTTATGCAATGCAAAGTCAAATTGAGGTTGGTAATAATAAACTGATAAGCCTATTTTTTCATAATTTAGTAACCAGTTACCTATGTACCAAATTGTATTTTTTTTATCTTGCAGGCTATTCATAAGATGCCATCATTGGCACTCTGTGGTGGAGGACTTTGGATGGGCTTGGAGTTTCATATGAAATATGTTATATCATATGGAACAGCAGCTGCTTATTCTAGGCTGGACAATATTGACCCTCCGCCTACACCAAGGTGTATTGTCAGGATACATGTTTACTCGCAAATGTGGAGATATTTTGATGTCGGTCTATACAGGTTTTTGTTAAAGTAAGTTTAATTAAATTTATTTTTTTATATGAACATCACCACAGGTATTAGATGGGCTGTGGTTTTAGTAACAATCATAGTTATTGACATTGTCTTTATTTCCAGGTACATTTATAAACCGGTTTTCACCACACTGTCAAATTATTTTACAATGCCCAAAATCACAAACAAATTAATTTCTTCTTTCATCACATTTGTGTTCATTTTTATGTGGCATGGCACTATGTGGAATATACTTGTATGGTCAGTTTTAAATTATATAGGTATTGTTATAGAGTATGCTGGTAAAGCAGCCTCAAAAACTGCAAGATATACATTATTTAAAGAAAAATATCTTAAAACAGATGCAATGGAAGTGCGATTTACTGCATTTTTGTGTGCACCTCTATTAGGTATGTCTGCTATATCAAATTTCTATTTATTTGCTGGCAGTGAAGTTGGTAATCTGTACCTTGAACTACTCAAATGGCCATCACTGTATAATGCTGTGTTAGTCTACTCATCTTTATATTGCTGTTGTCATGTTGCTATTGCTTTGAGTGCTGTTTCTTCTAGAACCGATGTTAAAAAAACAGAAATGAAGACTGTATTTTAATATTTGTATGTAACATTTTTTTTTAATATTGACTGGATTCAGTGTTGTTGTTTGGTTAGTAGTATATTTGAAGAAATTTAAACAAAAGAGCTTACATAAATATAGAAGAGTACACAGTAATTACGTATAAATTTGCATTGAATTCACAAAAAAAACTCATAAAACCCGAAATTATCTTCTGTTGTTTTTAGTTACCTACTTTGCTACATAGATAAGATAACTATTATTTATTATAATTATTTTTTTGCGATTATCGTATAATATTCAACCTGACGACATTATAGATAATTATGTAATTTATAATAAGATGTTAAGTACACGAATCTCAAATCTGTTGAAGTAAAGTTAGTCTGAGATTGACAAAAATATAGATGTAAATAATAAGACTATGGTTTCTGAAGAAAAAACTGCTTTAGTACAAACTATACCTACACTATGTATTTTTTTAAAACATTTTCAACATAGCTGTGAGTCATATTTGACTGCAGTTTTAATGAAATAAAATAATTTTTAAATAATATAAATTATTTTATTAAATTGTTATCAACTGGTATGTGTTAGACCCTTTTAGTAACAAGTAAGAATGTGTATGCATTGCTTCAATCAAGTCATTTGGGTCCCCAGCAACTCCTGCAGCTTTATGTATTTGTATCATCTCTTGTCTTGTGAATACATCCTTTCCTAATTGATGGGATCTTCTTGTTAACGCGTCCAAGAACTTTTTTAACTGAAAAATATTTTTTATTAAGTGCTAATTAAATAATAATCTTAATAAATTGTATATTATGCGGTACTCTACTAAGCGACTGGATTTAGTTATGTAAAAAATATGTTATTGTAATAAACATAGGTAACCTTGTTTCGGGAACTGACACCTGATCCATTTATAGACCTGGATAATTGTATATTTCCAAACTCGTCGCTAAACGTATCTATTAGGCTGTGTTTCAATAAGCTTATGACATCATTTGCATCTTTTACAGTAGCTTCTTCTCTCAAATCCACACGAGCTCTAGCCTGTCAAACGAGAACGAAATAAATAAACTCGACAAATCATTTCGTCATCTTAATTAGACATTGACGACGTAATATAGATTGTTATTATTTTATAAGATGCCAATCGCACTATTGCAGCCTTTAGGTCCGTTGGAGCCTTTACGTCCGTTGCAGCTTTGTTTTGAAATTACCTTTAATGTCCAAATCAACCTTGAAACAAATTTACACACCTGAGTAAGTCGTATGCAGGCTTCAAGTTGGCGTGTTGTAATAGGTGTACCGTCATGAGATCCACCTTGATGATTATGTCGAAGTTCTAAATAAAAATTTTGCAAAGCATTGGCTGCTTCGGTGCTTAGTTTTGGATGGACGTACCGCCTAGCGTACGCTATGTATTTTCTTAAAAGTACTAGAGGCAAATGATCGATCACTTCACCAGGTTTTAAACGGAGTCTTTGGCTAGAAAAGAAAAAATAATCGATAGATAAGCATGGCAAAGTGTACCCAAGTACCTACCCAAATAAATAGCAATTTTAATCGCGATAAATTTATTGGTAGGGTATTGGAAACAGAATCAATTTTCAGTTATGATTAAATTAAATGCCACTTTCTTTGTTACATTTCCAAAAAATAATTAAAAATTACCTGAGCGAAATCTCGTTATCGCACTGACTCGTATTCATGCTGGTGTTTAGATTATTTTGTTTTGTTGTATGCTTTCCTTTATGACCAGAATGTAGAGCCAGTACGTGTTCCGATAGCATAGCATCCATTTTCTAGAATAAACAATAAACTTTAATAATTATATAGCCATATTCAAATAATAATTATAAAGCCATAACAGATCGATCCAAAAGTAGAAATAAATGTAGGTAGGTACGCCTAATAACCCCGCCGTCATGCGTCAACGAATGTTTGATGTCTGCAGAAACAATCAAATACATTTTTATCAACAAAATATTTTAAAACTTTACATTTTGTTGGTAAGTTAGTAAATGAGACATACATACACATTACACACAGACACGAGCGCGCAAAAACATAGTAAAGTACCTCATCCACTGACCTCATCAGGTTGGTCCAAAAGAATAAAAACTAAATCAAATCTTGAGAGAAGTGCCGAATTTAATTTGAGATTTTCTGCCACGGTTTTGGATCTGTGAAAAAAAAATAGCCTTATGCATAATATGTTACATGTTATTATAAATTATGACCAGCATGTGATGTCATAAGTAATAAAGTAATAATTAAGATCTGTTCATATGTCTGGCGACAAGATTATTTGCCACAGGATTGTTTGGAATCCGTCATTCTTCCGTTGCACAAAAAGGACAATTATCGTAGTGAGTCCCTTATCTCACATGCTTGAAGCAGCAAGGCATTTGACTGTATCAACTGGTGTTGCTTAGGGAATAGCCTATAAGAACTGGGTACCCAAATAGCTCATCCATCTAAGTACTTCGAACGATTGCTGAAACTAAGGAGTCGTAAAAGTTGACAGCTAACAACAATTCCTAAGCCCTTTATACCAAGTCCAAATCGTATGCCAAAGTTGCAATTTGTCGCCCATTCTGTTGAATGACTACAGTGAGAACATAATGATACTTTTTTGCAAGAATTAAGAAGGTGGTATCACTGCTGGTGGCGTAAAAATCAATAATTTATAGGTACGCCGATGACACCACCCATTTGCAGCGAGTCGGAAATGATTACACTCGAACTAAACCGAATGGAGCTGTACAGCGTGATAATAGCCTTACGCTAAGATCGCGCTGTACAGGACTAAATACCTAATCCTAAGTACTACTAGCTAACGTTATCCTACACTATCCTAGATAATCTAACACTTACAATAGCCTATCCTAGATCCCCTAAGCCCAATAACCTATGTAGTCTAAGTTCTATCCTATATTTGCCTAGCGTACAATGCGTATAGGCTTGGTACTCTGTGGTATACTGTGATACAGACCAGCACTTCTACGCACCTACTACCAAGCCCTTAACCTAAGGCACGTACTATAGTGGTACACTGTGGTATGCTGTGATACAGACCTACTCTTCGTATGCGCCTAATGCCCTAGCCCTACAGTCCCTAGACCCTAGCCCTACTATACGTATTTATATATACTTATATAGATAGGTGCAGGATATCTGCCAACTGAGACCTATGATGGCAGACGGAATGTGGGTAGGAATGGGGTATGGTGGTGATGGTTTTCTCACTGCCTGTCGAGCAGACTCACACGACAGATCGGTTGATGGCTAAAGGTGTCTTGGCCACAGTGAGAGGTGGAGGAAGGGTAGTGAGTCAAAGTCGGAATCAACTTAATGACTCCTTTATTGCTTAATCTACATGATCTTATATACTAAACTTATCCTATGTACACACATACCACATTATGATTGTGTGCTATGCGTGTAATGTACCATCTCAGTGCTATATACCTTACGTGATTACGTGATGTTTTATTAGTTTTATATATTTAATAAGTAATATGTTTTCCTTATTTTAATCACGTAGGATTATCTCGCTGAAATGGCACGTTCATGTGTGAACAGGAGCATTTATGTATGCAAGGAGGTGCTTCCTTCCAAGCTTTCCAATTAACGTTCGAAGCTAAGGTTACGATGGTGGATAGATCCGGAAAGTTGGAACTTAATGGCGCTTTATTATAGTTTTTGTTTACCTAATTAGATATAGAGGCATCCGATAAGAAAGTGCGCAAGAGAATTGGAGAAAAGCCTAGTGGTCGCAGCCCATTCACTAACATCGTTCCGATCAGATCCGAACTGTGTTAGATTGCACTACTCACACCGCTATCGACAGAATAAGATGGAGGAAGATCCGAGAGAAGGTGACGCAAATGGATATGGTAAATCCTCAGTAATGATGATCGCTGAAGTTTACATATATCAACCGGAACGGCTGTGCGCCAAGGAAGTTTTGGTTATAGTAAAATGATGGTGGCCATAACCTGTTGTAGCTGCCTCCGGCGGGGTTGGCGGCGGCCAGCACGGTGGCGCGGGCAGCGAGGCTGCAGACGACGCCTCCCTTGGCAACGCTTACACGTCGCTGCTCCATCGCTTCCAACAAACTGCTGTGGTGAGCTGTCATCTGAAACGTGATGCATAATGTCCGATTCATAATAGTTATAAATTGTGATTTCATATTTTTTTCTTTTATTTAATCGTTGTCTAATTTGTATATTGCACAGAGTTGTTTTATGCGGAAATCGAACGCGCCATACTTCGTATAAAAGCTGGTGGCCCCGCTGAGCCGCCAACCGTGCAGTTGAAACTATTCGTTTACAATTCACATAGTATAATCAACAACACTATAGAAATTACACGAGCTACTTGTTTTAATAATACCTTATCAAGTTCATCAATACAGCAAACACCTTTGTCGGCTAGAACTAGTGCGCCAGCCTCTAAAGCGAAGTCTCCTCCGGCTTCTCGGCCTAATGCTACAGTGAGGCCTCCTGCAGACGCAGAGGCACCGCATACGTAAACACCTGAAATAAAAAAATATCTTTTCCATTCCTGAGTTTACCTTTAATAAAAAATCAAACACCATTACTGCTGGTTTATATTGTTTTAGTTAGGTAGGTAATCGATATACCTCTTGGAGCAGCATGGGCTGCAGCCTGTAACAACTGTGACTTTCCAAGTCCTGGATCCCCCACAACTAGGACATGAGGGTTGGATCTTGGTCCATTGTCATGTTCAGTACCACCAATAAGACCAAGTATGAGTCCTGCTTTCACTGCCTCGTGACCAAATATTGTTGGACAGAGTGAGTGGACAAGTAATCTGAACACATCCTCCGTTGCATGAATTTCCTTAAGAAAAAAATAATTATTAAGTTTGAAAGGTGTACCTATATGTATGTCTTAAAATTATAGTGGAAAATGAGACTACCTGTATGGCGTAATAATCTTTCAATGTAAAAGATAGAGTTGGATTGCTTAGATTTCTATGGCTGTGTATTGACACAGCTTCAATATAAAGTTGCAATAGTCTTGCTGCTCGTTTGCCGTCTTCGCCACCTTTGCTTTCACCGCGAACCTGAAAAACAAAAGGACTAATCATTGTTTGCTGTGTCTATTAATTACTAGTGATCTAAGTTGTATATAACATTTATATTGTATAGCATAGCAATACCATAATACAGCAAAACATATTTTAGTTGTTTATAATAGTTACCTGAACAATACCTGTGACTGAGAGCACATCACCAGGACATGCTGCACCAACTAGGTCTCCCTGAAGTTCTATCTCTACACTTCTTGGTATAGTTCCAGATAGGCTCTGCAATAACAGATAGGCAATCTAGGATTCAATTTAGAGAAAAACACTAATATAATAAGTATCAAGTATGAGCAACTAATTATCAACCTGTGACTGAATTTCTTGTATTTTAGCAACTTGCCAGTCTGTTGTGTTGGTGAATGGTGATGATTGCAGTGGTTCAAATTTCGAACCCCCATTACAGCTTTGGCAAGATGTAGGTGCTGTAACAATGTAAATATAGATTTAGGTACATTGGACATATTGGTATCATGGATTTTATAATGGACATCTATCTAGCCTAACTTTACCAGGAATTTTGTACAAATTAAATACTTAAACTGGAAGTACAACAAAGTATAACGTTGAAATGATAAGTAATGAAATAGGGAATAAATGATGTCCTAATTATAACTATAATTTTTGCTGCTAAAATTGCCAATTAAAGATAAACATAAACTGGGCTAATCATTTTGTTCATCTGTAGCTGTCTGTGGCAGTCAAAAGGTTAATCAGATGGGATTTCTTGACAAATGATTTGTCTATACCTGTGAATACTCCCTGAGGCTGAATGACGGCTTGTAGATTGTGGCAGCTGGAACACTCAAATGCCATAGAAGTGCAAATGAGCCCCACACTTCCAACCCGGATGACAGTACCCTTTATTGTAACTAGTTTGCCTGTAGGAAATATCGATGATTATTTTATTATTTCCAATAACACTTTGCTAACTTAAGTCTCTTTTGTAGGTAGTTTCATGTTCTATAGCTTCTTGCTTGCAAGACTGTAGTGGATGGATGTAAGTACTCTACAGAGGCTAGTGCTTTGAAGAAACTTACCAAAATAATTGACTTTCAAATTAGCTAACGGAATGACTGGCTGGTGATTAAGGATTCTCACTTTTATCTTAGATTCACATTTGAGAGTCTGTAAAAAAAAAGTAAGTATTACATTTTAAAGCAACTTCAACATAATACAATAGTTTTTCATGATAAATGTGAAAAGGAAGATATTATTTTATAGTATTATATATGAAAGTATTAAAAGACTATTATTACCTCATGTAAACAATACTCAAGGAGCCTCAATGTATTATCTGGATATTCAAACAATTCTGTATTAAAGGTAGGCCAGCTGCTAACAAACTCTGTATCATTTAACAAATTAGTGACATCCAAGGGCACACTGCGGGTCTGATCTATTTTCTCCAAATCAAACAAATTTTTGTGTTTTTCAATAAATTGTTTGAAACATTTAATTTGACTCGTCACCTCTAAATCTGGTTGTTGATCTGAAATATATATATGTAATAAATAAATTCATAACTATCCATTGCATATTTTTTATGTAACTTTTATAATATTATAGTGGTTTAAATACCTTTCGTGGGAAAGTATAACTTCCAAACGTTGGTGGTCTTATTGATGGGTATAACAGTTGGTATCTGATTAGCTGGAGCTCTCGAAGATCCTGCAGTACTAGACACTCGGTGACTATTTGTTGAATTACTTAAACTCTGATTGTCTGAATTGGGATTTTGATTATTTCTTGAACGGTACCAATTATTTCGATATCGTCCTCTCCAATTACGGCGCATTATCCAGTTTTAAATCTTTAATTTAAATAATTAATTGAATTTTAAAAGTTAATATGAACTTTTTCTTTTCCCGCTGTTTCTTGTGTTTATTTTTTTTCGTCGGTTTGGCACTGTCAAATTGTCAAGATGACAGTATTTTTTTTAATATTGAATTAGGGTTTCAGCCTTGTAAGGTAGGTACGTGTTTTACAATTATTAATGAAATTAAAAAATATTGGACAGAATTACTTGATTTTGATTTTGTAATTATAAAAATCCCTAATAATGTTATGTCCGATTTACCCGGCTGTCGCATTTGACACTCTACTACCTACCATGTATAGGTAACTAACTACTATCTCTATATTATTCGAGCCGGGCCTGTTTTAAATCTAGAAGTTGGTGGGTAGTAGAAGTAGAACATATTTTCTAAATCTAAGTTACTAGTCAATATTTTAGACACAAGCATTACAGCCAATACTCATGTCTCTCTTGTTTGAGAGGTGGGTCTTTAGATAGCCTCTGTCTTGGGCTGAGTCTAATCTTTCTGTTAGGAATAAGACACATTAACAAAGACATTATAGATGGGTTATATACTGTCTTACCCTCGAATACTTTTTGCTGCATTATTTGTTCAAAATTGATTAATTATTTTTATAACCGCGCATAATATTATAGTGCATGCTGTGCTTCTCTATAAGTAATAGGGCACTTAGAATTAAATTTGAAATGTATAATTTAAATAGTATAGTGTACTCATTGTTGAGAAGCCTAAAATAGGTAAATAAATAAATAAATACCTTGAATACTAACTACATAAGTAGTTAAAATTTCCACTTAGTACTGACTTAAAGTGATTTTTCCGTAAGTACTAAGCACCTACTTACTTATTAGGAACGACTTAAAAACTACATATAAGTACCTAGTTTAAATCAATAACAGAGTCGAATAATATGTGATTTTGTTTTTCAAAAAATAATCTAGTAGGGTGTGTTAAACCATCCAACCATTATTAGATATTTCAATCTCGTCTTCATATTTGTAATTTATTTGCAAATAAATTTGGCGCCGTAGATTTAATGGAGAATGCTGACAAGGATGGTTTGATAAAATCTGGTGAAGAACTCCTGAATACAGATTGGAGTCTAGAATTTCCAGAGACCAATGAATCTTCTGGATCAAAATCAGAAGATCACCAGCACAATGAAGAACGCGTCGAAGTTGATAGAACGGCTCTGGAATCTATATTACACGCCAGTTCTCGTTTACAAAATTTAGTGCAACGAAACAAAGTGTCTTTGAGTGCAATTAATTATGGCCATCAATCTTACAAAGACAAGCAAGTAAATAAAAATGCATAATTAGATTTATTTGGTTTTATTACTATATACTTACCTATGTCTAATTATGATTATTAAAATAACATAATTATTTGTAGGTTAAAGCAAAAATAGCGCGTAGCAACCGATTTAGCGCTATTAAGCAGCCACAGAGATTTCTACTTGAAAATGCAGCAATTTTATTGAATAAGCCAATTGATTATGTGCTGGTAAGAAAATAGATTGTAAATTTCGTTTTACATTATACATTTAGGTAGGTAGGTAGGTAGGTACACCTACCTTAATTATGATAAACGGCAAAGGTGAAGTAACCTAGACTTACACCGGGTTTTCGAAAGGCCGATCAATGTTAAAATCAATTTAATCTTTTGTCAAGTCATCTGATTGGTTGACTGAATTATCAACAACCAATCACACCTAAGTTGATTTTAACATTGATCGGGCTTACGGAAACCGTGCGTTATTGACGCTTGTTCACACGGAGGTTTGAGAATTATCAAGTGATTAATTTTAAAATATTCTTCTTGTGAGAAGATGCCTTTGCTCAGAATTACGCACTAATAATCAAATTCATTCGTGTCATTCGTGTCGTTTATTTTAAACAAAACAGCATAAATAAGAAATGCAGAAACACGAATGCAGTTGTAGCCGCACCTCACGACTACATACCTACCAACCTAGACCTACCAAAACCATGTACCATATTTACCTTATATTTACCTTACCACTGAATACCTTACCATACCTCAAAACCAGATAGGTACCATATACCTTCCACATACAAACGTTTTTAAACTTTCCGTTATCAACAGAAACATGATAACAATTGTCTTGAAAAAGACAGTTTACGTTTTAGACTCTCTTAACACGAAACGAGAAATATTGTCTTGAAAAAGACAGTTAACGTTTATGACTGCCAGAAACAATTATTAGTAGTCGCTTCGAAAGAAGCGGTTTGTTATGAGCGAGCATCGCTAGCGGAGCCGGAGGCGGTGCACCTGCACCCGCCGCGTCTTCAATCTTCACACAATCTGTACTCGACGACGGCGGCGCGCAGCGAAATGTCGCGCTCTCGTCGTTCGGGTCTTCTCACCGTCCCCGGCTGGGGGCGTGAGGTCGCGCGATCCAGGCCGATGCCTGTCTCGGCGGTATCGCTCGCTGCCTGCAACAGCAGGCGAGGTCCTTGGAATAGTCGGGCCTCTTGCGGGGCCCGATGTGGTCGTGTCCTGTGGGTGGCGCCGTCATGAGCCGCGCTCGAGCCTGGGCAAGCCCGGCGAGCAGCAAGCTGTTGACGGCGCGCGGTCGTGTCCAGTGGTTGGCGCCGCTAGGAGCCGCGCTCGAGCCTGGGCAAGCCCGCCGAGCAGCGAGCTGTCAGCGGCGCGTGGTCGAGTCCGGTGTGGGAGGAGTCTCTACCAGCCGGCCTGACGCGGGCGGGCGGGAGACTCACGCGGCGTCCGATGGGTCGGTCGGTGCGACCAGGTCTCGCGGGAGGCCGAGGCCGTCAGGGGGGCGCCGGTGGTATGGCGCCAGCTCCCGGAGGTGGTCGTGCCGCGACGATCGGAGCGGTTGAACATTGATGTGCTCAGGCGCTGCACGGCGTCGATGCTCTCTACGCCGAGGTCTCGGTCGCGCTCTCGGCGCGCGACCCTTTTATATGTAAACGAGAGATCGCGCCGGCGCGGCGCCGCGACCAAAGCGGCGGCCCTCGCCCCGCGCGGCCCGCGCTCGCCGGCGCGTCGCCGTTGGTCAACACTTACCTAACGGCGCGCGATATGGTTTTGATGTACAATTGTAAATATAGATATAAGTAGCAATAATTAACGAAATAAATCATTCCGAAACACGCATCTCAACGAGTATCATTTACAAGAAGAACCTTCTCGTAGGACAACTAGGCTCTCCTACCTAGTTCCTACACAGTTATTTAAAAGTTTGTCAAGTTTATTGACCAGATCTGGATTCAGGTCATAATAACACACATTAGCATAATCAATTAAAACAACTAGGCTTGACTTGATAGTTGAGCATTAGGCATTACTGCTTCGCAGAAAGAGGAAACGGCTGCCCAGTTTCTCTCGCTCAACACCATGGCCTCGATTAAGGCTGGACCCGAGACCACCACCGTATACTCCACCTAGTCCTTCCGGTGGTCTACTCAATGTCACTGGACCCAAAACGGGTGCCTTGCCCTTTTACCCGAAACCCGATATTTTTGTGTCCGGTAAGCGCCTGCGTCAGGCGGTAGGTGAGAACGCCGGGGCGTCTCTCCAGCCACTTTTTAAGTCTGAACCGAGACTGCGGTACAATATTGTTGTTGCAAACCCGACTCGGCCCGAGCACTTAAACTGATTTATGTGTGTATCCAAAATATTTCTTAATTTAAAATATAAGGAAAATATTAAATAATCTTAGTATTAAGACACAGTTTCGACGCATTTAAGAGGTGGGTCCTAGTCACGTAAATAATTAAAAAAAAATATTGCAGGAAGGTGTTTGCGACGCAGATGTTAATATAAATCTATTAGATTTGGCTGTCGACGAGGGTGGTGTCTATTGTATAGTTCTGTGTGATGCCTTCCTGCCTGCTATTTTAATAGGTAATACGTCTTAATTTCAATATCTATGTAAATTTTCTCATAACCTTAATAACGATTAATTTGAATAGCATAATTTTCCACCTTGTACGTTATATGCATAATTGCATATTCTTGTAGAATCTGGCAGATTTGTCCCCAGCCGTCGTATAGATAGGACATATATATCAGATTTATCGAGAATTGCTGTTCAAGGCAAGTGCGTGGCGATGTACAGATTGAACAGTAACGCTGTCGATGCTCGGAACGTGGCAGACGTAAGATACTTGGCTTAATAAAATTTATATTACTTAGTTTATAGATAGGTAGTAGCTAAATATGTAATGTGAATTTTAGGAATATTTTTACATATTACTTGACATAAATCAAGAGACAGAGAACGTTGTTTCAAGTATATACAGGATGATGAAACATGTTTACATTCCTGCTTTGAAAGCTTGCCAAGGTTGGGGACATCTAAATCCGCCGAATCCTAAAAGCGAGGAGAGGATCATGTGTTACATTTCGAAGATAATAATGTTCGTCAATTACCTTGAACGTGAGTGTAAAAACATATTTACCTAACATCAAGTTTTTTTCGACGTTCAGTTTTCACTTGGTAACCATTTATAATTATATTTTAACTTATTCAGAAACAAAAATAGACCTGGACTGCTGCACAAAATTCAAAATAGATCTTTCAATATATGAGACAGAGTTGTCGAATTCCGAAAGAATGAGATTAGCGGTGACTAAGACTCATGTTTTGCAAGAAATATGTTCATATGTGAAGCAATGGATACAGCAAATAACAACGGTTAAAAGCAGTTATTTAATGTCATGTACCTCGTAGTAATCGAGCAGTCAGCACGTAGTTTAGTAGTCAATGCACAATAATTGCGTAGTACCTAAGCCCTTAGCCATGTAGGCAGCGTGTAGTTACTGTGTAGTCGTATAGTAGCAGCCATCGCAAAAGTATTTTGCATCAATTCAATTTTTATATTTATAAATAGGTGTTAGTACAAAGTCAACAACTGCGTCGTGAGTCGGCAAACATAGGTCCCTTGGCAGAGTTGGATCACTGGCGCCGTCAGCTCACCACTTTCACGTCAATAATCGAGCATATCAAGAGCGAACCGGCTGCGATGTACATTCACACACTAATAACAGCCAAATCCAAACTTCTTAAGGTTGGTATTTTTCAAGTATTCTACATTATTGTTGACTTTGAAACAATAAATCCACGAGGCGACCATTAGCTGCGGCTGCGGTAGGTACATGTTTAATTTTTCGGATGGTGCGGATCTGCCCTGCTTGGGCTGAACAACCTCTCGCCTGCGGCTTTAGTCAAGGCCATGGTGCCGAGCAAAAGGTGTGTGAAGCCTTCTCCTCTTTCTGCGACGCAATGATTCTTGCAAAGAACCTCCTTTTTCGAGAGATGATAGTTCCCTCATGTCTAAAGCTCCAGCCACCGCAGTATTATTGATGTCCAGGTGAAATGATTCTACTTTAATAGTGTCAAGAATTTTAACTTAGGGCAAAAATTCTTACTTACTGTTGTCCAAACAACAAATTTGCAATTAACCTGCTTTTACGAGTTGGCCAAACGTTGCTGTAAATGTTTTATTGATCTGATCAAATTGAGTTGTCCACAACATAAAATGCACCTATGATTAACCATATCATGAATTACTTACTAATACATTTATATGAAAATCAATTTATTTTCAGAAATGGAAAGAACTAGATAACAAAGTAACCGATTTTTACAATGAGGCTTTCGATAACGTGAGGTATTTGTATGCGTTACAGAAATTTTGCGAACCTCTCTACAGGTAAAACGTTTTTGAAATGTAACTATCGTGAGACATACATAGATATACACAAATTTATTGAAAATAACGATAAAATCAAGGGCACAGTTGCCTGAGTGACGCCTTTTGTTCCTTGAAACTAGTTTACTTTTTCTCAGTTAATTCATGTAAGTAGGTAAGTCGTTATTTTCTATAAACTTAGATAAAATATTCTTATACATCTAGTTTTAATCAAAAATCTTGTATTTGGCTTAACTCTCTTGAAATCAAGACCCTGACAAATATATTTACATTAGCGGGGATTAGCAGTATCCCAATTTAATTTCTTATAATTGTGTCCACAGATGTGATCCTTACACAATGCAAAATTTCATCCCGTCATTGATATACAATATTCGTATGATGTACGCGACCTCACGATATTATAATACTACCGAACAGATATCCACATTGCTCGTCAAAGTCACCAATCAGATTCTCAACATGTGTATGAATTTTCTGACAAAAGACGGTAAAAAGACTATTTGGAATCAAGATAAACATCATTTCATAGATAAAGCTAAAGTTAGTATTTTTAAAAACAATCTTTTAATACCTAAACATTTTTAAACATAATAATAATTAGTCCAATCAACAACATGACACTCCTTTTTGACAAACCCAGATCGGAAAAAGTCAAATGATGGTCCAAACTAATATTATAAATGCGATAGTAACTCTGTCTGTCTTTTCTTCACGCTTAAACTACTGAACCTATTTGTGTGAAATTTGGTACAGACATATGTAGTTAGGAACTTGAGAAAGGACATAGGATAGTTTTTAAACCAAAAATCTGCAGGAAGACCCTATTCTACGCGAACAAAAACAGAAGTCGCGGGTGTCAAAACCTAGTTTAAATATTTTATTTTATTTTAATAATTAGTGATTGTAATTTAATATTTCAGTACTGTTTGAGTCTGTATCAGTTTTATCGAGACTGCTACGATGAAAACGATAAAGAAATGTTGGAAGCAGCATCTGAAAGGCCATTTGATTGTTCAGTAATGCACATATTTGGCAAGTTCGAAACTTTCAAAAAAAGATTAATCAAGGTAGACTAGTTATTTATTAAGATAAACGTATGGGCGACGACGAATGGGCTCTGACCCTCTATAATTTATTTAAACGAGTATTGTTTTGAGTTTCGTGGATTATCTCTTTTGGTTTTTCAGATCATAGATCTTTTTGAAACTTATATAAAGTATTATGTTCTGAATAAATCGACTTTGGAAGGCATTGACGAATATGCTGCCAGTTTCAATAAACTATTTAAAACTATATCGACCAAGACTTACGATGCTTTGGATCACAGGTAAACATATATGTATTCTTTTATATATTTTAAATGCCCATTGAATGCAGGCGGAATGTGATGTAATGTAAAAATAACTTACGTATCTCCATTTATGTTTAGGCGACAAGATTTCGATATAGACTACAAAATATATAAGGAAGCAGTGGCTAACCAGGAGATGTTACTAGAAAACTTTGTCATTTCGGTAATTATTGACATTTATGAATTTTGTGAACCGTTGGATAGCTTAATTTTCTCACTAAGTAAACTTGAGAAGACTATCATCATATTCATCATATTTTTAACAAAAACAGAATAAACCGAACTTAATTAAATCCGATTATAGTTTGTTTTTATTTTCAGAGCGTAAAAAAGTGTCCAACAACAGAAATAGCATTGAATCTTCTCAAGAGATTTGAGAAGTTACAGTTGGAGTGCCTCTATTTAGGCGATCAATATTGTGATCTCATTAAGATGTACACTAATGAGATTGAAATGATTAGAGACAGGTACGCTATGTACGACATAGGTACAGTTGTGATATTAATTGATATTACGTAATAATATACCTACCTACTATAATTTCTGTTTATCCGACAAAAAGAAAGAGAGGATTCTCAATAATTTATTAAACTATATACATATTATATGTATACATATACATGTAACATATCACCCTTGATTTAAAATTAAGATACAATGAAGAAAGAGACCAGCCAGACTTACCAAGAAACATGACTCTAGTGGCGGGACGACTCATGTGGACAAGGTTTTATCACAAAAATATAAAGGTGCCGATGAAGATATTTGAGAAATATCCCGATGTTATCACACACCCGGTAATTCAATGATTATTTTTCTTGATAAACTTTACTAGTATAATACCTAACTACTTTTAGTAGTTTTTTTATGTGATAAGACGGCAAACGAGTACGTGATGACGCAATCAGCGGCGCCCATGGAGAGTTACGAGTGCGTTGCCGACCTTGTAAGGATTAGGGATTTTGAGATTTTGGGATTGATGAGGGATCGGGGTAGGGCCTCCGGTAAACTCTCTCACATGCCGAAAGACAATGCTGTGATTGTGTCACGCCGGTTTGATGTGAGGCCATGTTTCTGTATCTCCTGTAGTACGGCCCAGTCGTGCCGAAGCATGGCTCTCCCACAAGCAAAATGGCCTAAAAAGACCGAAACACACTTAATATCTATATATGTCACCGGACAACAAGATCCGTAAGTTTATCAATTTACTAGGAAGTTTATAAACTTTCATAAGATTCTAAACGGGAGATAAATTGTAATATTTTACGTCCACATTTTCGTAAATTTATCAATTTCCGACGTCATACGGTAAATTTATAAACTAACGAATATCTATTCGTAAAATTTTATATGGTTCGACCAATCACAGAAACTCTTTTAAATATACTATCTTTGAAATACGTAAAATGAAGTGACACGTGACAGCCAACCAATCAGATCGCGCGTAGCGTTTGGTTACTGCTTACTTATTATTTTACGAATGAGTTCAGGTAAGTAAAGTTAAGTTTATCAATTTACGAAAATGTGGACGTAAAATATTACAATTTACCTCCCGTTTAAAATCTTACGAAAGTTTATAAACTTCCTAGTAAATTGATAAACTTACGGATCTTGTTATTTTCCGGTGACATATATAAATTGAAGTAATACTAGCTAAGGAGCTCAAACTTATTTCAAAACTAGCAGGTAGCCTAAGATTCCATCAGGTATAAGCGCGATGCTACAATATTGTATGGTCACTTATTCTACATACCTATATATATTTGCAAAGTTTCAAGATGATACCACACTAAAAAGAGTTAAATATGTTTACAGAATACACAGCGGTGTATAAAGTTGCACAATGTAATGGCGATAGTGTTTACAGAATACGAATTGATTTATCATTACGCGTGGACGGAGAACGTAAAACAGGTATCAAGTGACTTTTCACCTTTTAAACTTGGTATTGGTAATTAGAGACACAATGGAAGAACACGAAAGAAGGTGTGCGAACGCGTTCGTATGGGGATTATAATTAAAAAAGGTTATTTAGAATAATAACTTATTTTGCAACACACTTCCTCATAAAGTAGCAATGCAGGCAATTAAGCACATAATGACTGGA